ACTTTCTGGTGTAATTCTCACCATTTTTTCATACTTTCTGGTGTAATTCTCACCATTTTTCGTACTGTCTGGTTAATTGGACTACCACACAGACATCAATGGGCATTCCACAAATAGTTGACTTGGTCAAGATGGGGAGGGCATGGCTACAACCTAAGAAATATGCTTGAATTTGATTTATTATTTTTAAAAACAAAATTAATAAATACACATTTCAGAGGGACACAGATCGAAAATGAGAAACATATTTGTGGGCATTTTATCTGCACTATATTTAAAACTTTCAACAATGGTTGAGAGATAAATAAAGAAAAATGTATCACTAACACAATAATTATCATTTAACACAATAATTATCACTCTAACTGAACAATTATCACTATAACACAATAATTATCACTATAACACAATAATTATCACTAACACAATAATTATCACTAACACAATAATTATCATTTAACAGAATAATTATCACTATAACACAATAATTATCACTATAACACAATAATTATCATTTAACACAATAATTATCACTATAACACAATAATTATCACTATAACACAGTAATTATCACTATAACACAATAATTATCACTATAACACAATAATTATAATTTAACAGAATAATTATCACTATAACACACTAATTATCCCTATAACACAATAATTATCATTTAACACAATAATTATCACTATAACAGAATAATTATCACCATAACACAATAATTATCACTAACACAATAATTATCACTATAACACAATAATTATCATTTAACACAATAATTATCACTTTAACAGAACAATTATCACTAACAGAATAATTATCACTATAACAGAATAATTATCACTATAACACAATAATTATCACTAACAGAATAATTATCACTATAACAGAACAATTATCACTAACAGAATAATTATCACTATAACAGAATAATTATCACTATAACAGAATAATTATCACTATAACAGAATAATTATCACTATAACAGAACAATTATAACTAACAGAATAATTATCACTAACAGAATAATTATCACTAACAGAATAATTATCACTATAACAGAACAATTATCACTAACTGAATAATTATCACTATAACAGAATAATTATCACTAAAAGAACAATTATCACTATAACACAATAACTATCATTTAACAGAATAATTATCACTTTAACAGAACAATTATCACTAACAGAATAATTATCACTATAACAGAATAATTATCACTAACAGAATAATTATCACTATAACACAATAATTATCACTTTAACAGAATAATTATCATTTAACAGAATAATTATCACTTTAACAGAATAATTATCACTTTAACGGAACAATTATCACTAACAGAATAATTATCACTATAACAGAATAATTATCACTATAACAGAATAATTATCACTAACAGAATAATTATCACTATAAAAGAACAATTATCACTAACAGAATAATTATCACTATAAAAGAACAATTATCACTAACAGAATAATTATCACTATAACAGAATAATTATCACTATAACAGAATAATTATCACTAAAAGAACAATTATCACTATAACATAATAATTATCATTTAACAGAATAATTATCACTTTAACAGAATAATTATCACTTTAACAGAACAATTATCACTAACAGAATAATTATCACTATAACAGAATAATTATCACTAACAGAATAATTATCACTATAAAAGAACAATTATCACTAACACAATAATTATCATTTAACACAATAATTATCACTTTAACAGAACAATTATCACTAACAGAATAATTATCACTATAACAGAATAATTATCACTAACAGAATAATTATCACTATAAAAGAACAATTATCACTATAACACAATAATTATCACTTTAACACAATAATTATCATTTAACAGAATAATTATCACTTTAACAGAACAATTATCACTAACAGAATAATTATCACTATAACACAATAATTATCACTTTAACACAATAATTATCACTTTAACAGAATGAGTATTTGGTCTTGTTACATGAATCTCTCAGATTCACATGCAGGTACCTCCAATTGATCTATCTGAAATATGTTTGGTTCAATCTGAAAATTTGTATTTAGGTGAATATTTTTAAATTTGCATCAAGATTTATATTTTACACACAATTATTCAACTGATTGCTGCTACCCGTTTGGTGTATTCGTTATCTACCCCTTGCAACATTTCCAGCATCAAGGCTATAATGGTTTCCCTTTGTTTTTTGTGGAATAATACATTTTAATGTTTCCAGAACTTAGCATATTTGACTATGAGTGAAATATGCGAATATTATAATACATTTCAATGTTTCCAGAACTTAGCATATTTGACTATGAGTGAAATATGCGAATATTATAATACATTTCAATGTTTCCAGAACTTAGCATATTTGACTATGAGTGAAATATGCGAATATTAAAGCAACAGGGTCATCACCTGCGCACACGAATTGAGTTCCAATCGATGATAACAATACACGCTAAAAACACAGGCTCATGGGTAGAAACTTGTTTGTAAACAATGACACACTATACACCTTACACATGCGTAGTCGACGACTCCCCCGCTTTAAGTCCTATATAGTTCAGAATTGGTACATAAATAATTTATAGAGTAATCTCCAACTGTACTTGTTAACATTTCTTGTCTTTCACTTCTACAGGTAAAAACAATGGTCAAGTTGATGGTGTTCATTATTTTCGCTGCCCACCTAAACATGGCATCTTTGTGAGACCAGATAAACTGAAGCAAATCAACAAACCAACACCATCTAAAACCAAAATGATCCCAGCACGGCCTAGTCCACAATCCAGCAAAGTTTCCAGCCCAAATGCAAGTCCTATCAGACACCATATGATGAGTGGAAGTGGAGGATCTAGTCCTCATTCTAGTCCTGTTGGAAGCCCTTGTGTGACCAGGAATATGAAAACTATCAGGAAATAACTGACAATCAATGAACTTTGTAATCTAAGGAGTCTTGTTGCTCTGACAGTCAATCAGCCCTGGAATCTAGTGATTCTCCAAGTCTTATTGGTTTGACAGTCAAGTCCTGTTTTCAGATAAGTTGTGGAAACTATGGTTACTATGGAGTGTATTATGTAAATAATTGAAAGTTTAGCAAGAAGACTGAAATCAATGAAACGCTATTTTATTGCTACATCTACATGAAGATATTTACAGATCACGGATCAAAACAGTCACTATGTACACAAATGTTGAATCATTTCAGTTTGGCTAGTGAATAATTTTTATTTCCTTATTTCCTATTTATTATGTCTACTGCCCATAAAGTTCTCATTGCTGCCATATGGTTTACATTGCACCTCACCTCAAGTCTTACAACCCTCACCTTGCAACTCAAAACCCATAATCCACATCTCCCAAACTGCTACTCACAATCCATAATCCACACCTCGTAACTCTCAGTCTACACCCGAACCTACTCCTTGTAATTCTCAGTCTACACCCGAACCTACTCCTTGTAACTCTCAGTCTACACCCGAACCTACTCCTTGTAACTCTCAGTCTACACCCGAACCTACTCCTTGTAACTCTCAGTCTACACCCGAACCTACTCCTTGTAACTCTCAGTCTACACCCGAACCTACTCCTTGTAACTCTCAGTCTACACCCGAACCTACTCCTTGTAACTCTCAGTCTACACCCGAACCTACTCCTTGTAACTCTCAGTCTACACCCGAACCTACTCCTTGTAACTCTCAGTCTACACCCGAACCTACTCCTTGTAACTCTCAGTCTACACCCGAACCTACTCCTTGTAACTCTCAGTCTACACCCGAACCTACTCCTTGTACTTCATCACTTCACTGAAATTTCCAATCTACATCTCACAACCCACAACAAGCACCTCACTACACACACCTTGCAGTCCATGGCATGCAACCATCACCTCACATCTTGCAACCCCACCTCGCTACACACACCTAAAAACACACCTAAACCCCATGGCCTACTACCAACACCTCAGCTGACAACCCTCAACTTCCTACCAACACATTAATCCACACCTTACAACCCATGGCATGCACCCTCAACCCATACCTCAACCTACATTTTGCAACCCAGGACCTCAACTCACAGTTGACAATAATAAAAATACAGTTTACACCATTCGGGCATCTCTCTGGAAAAGCAGTGATCACATTTCGAAGATACAACAGACGTCCTTTATGTAAATATGGTAATTTGGTTTAACCTCACTAATTGGGTACACAATATATGGTGACTAATTTACATATCATTGTATATCTTAAAAAAAGACCTGTTTTGTATAGTGTTTTATTTGTGTACCGGTATTCATCGGAAAGTCTCAAAATCCGGATGAAGGGATTTTTCTATTCAGGGTTTGCAAATTAACAGAGGAATGTTTATTTTATGTACTAAACAATTGTCCCAGAATTTTTATGCCACACATTATGTGATGTGGCAATAAAATTTGACATTGTAATACAATAACTGTACCCTAGCGGTATAGACTGGAAGAAAGACATCTGTACTACGCTGATTTCTGACTATTGTGATTATATTAACTATATGGACGTACACCATGATACTCCCATGGTGCATTGCCTTATGTGAACAATACAGGTGTGTCCTCCTAGCTGTACATGTAGTAGCTTAGAAAGACCATAGAATATTTATCAAAGAATGCAACATGTTGTTCATAACAGGAGCTCATTAGATGGACACTGGCAGTACCATTCTATTGTATTATTTTAGATCTACACATCATTTTTCCATTTATATTGGAAACTTTAAATTATTACTTACATTACAGGATTGATTACCATTACTAATTCATCATCACAGTAACCATGACAACCTGAGCATTCACTACAGAGTGACATTTGTTGTCTGTGACTAAAATACAATGTAACAAACTGATATACATTGTATTGTAGTTTTATCTTGATTTGAACATTCATCACACCTGGCTACACTGTTACACTACACTATATTTAAATACAAATATGACTGCCTCCCTCAAACCATATTATTTGGTGTACACATGAATATTCAGATCAAATCTGTTAATCCTTTGAGTGTCATTGTCATCTTTTGGCACCATCAACAAAATGATTTTTGTACAGTCTGCTGCTCCCCTCATGAAACATTGGTAATATTGACAAACCTTTTGATCAAAAATTAAAAGCATTATCTGAAATTGTATGGTCCTAAATGATGACAATTTTACAAAATGTGAAAATATTTGTACTGGATTTGTGTTTGGAAAATATCTGCCACTCAAAGGGTTAAAGAAATATACCATAATTTGAATATTATATTTCTTGATTCGTATATTCATGAACATACCTTATTATTTATTTTGTTTATATTTTTTGTAATTTCAATTAAAAAACTAAGTTAGACATAGGAGCTGCTCATGAGCTATTTGAGCCAATCCCACCTTGACCTATGTGACTGTATATCACGGTTTTGTTGATGTAATGTCATAATATATTGAATGAATGGGGTATCAGTAATGAGATCGGTAAATCAGCATTTCTCAGGCTAGCTGGTATTCAAGTTATTAGAGGCATTTTTAAAGCATAGAGTTTTTCACTGTTGATGACATACAAATTTTTAGTTTCAAAGATGAAATAACACAATTTTCATATTAAAATCTCTTGTAGATTTCTCAAAAATACTAGTACTTTTTTTGTAGTGTTACATAAATTCAGGAATGTGTAAAAATCACATGCCACTTCATTTGATTGGGGACCATGGTTTTAGTTTATATTTGGTTGTAAATGTTTGTATTTTTAGGAGTGTTATTATAAATATGCATTTTGGCATGGGAGCATACAATTAAGCATTTCTGTAATTATGCAAAATTATGCGAGCTTGCAGTGATCCGAGTTTGAATTTTAGTCATTTGTATATAGATATAAAGTGTTAACATTTTGCTGCATATCCTGCTGCAGCATTACATGATCTGGTATATTTATTTATTTTCTGCTATTCTGATTATGAAAAACTTTACACCCATTGCAGCGGTTCAGTCATTATTTACGGTTTGCTGACTATTATCATTGTTTTAATTTGATTTGTTTTTATTTGATTTTTTTTTGCATGGGATTTCTAATACATGGAGGAAGGGTTTTCTTCAGAAGCTTTTTCAATAAAATTTGATCACAAATGTCTGTCATTGCTTTGTCATTTCTGTCAAAAATAGCTATACTGCTGACTTTAGCACCACTGTCCCCTCAGTCAATTATGAAACTTGCACACTAATGGGGAAAATGAAGTTGCCTTAAATTCTGCCAGATGATGTTGCTCGACTCAAGGTCTACTTATTTGCTGCTTATAGTAGTAGCATCATGTGACTAGGGAATCCAAAATGTAAGCATAAACACAATGAATGTAAGGCAAGTAATACTGTCAAATAAATTGAAATAGTTGCATGCAATTTAGAGATCAATGCATGAATTAACAGAATCTTAATTTAGCTAAATTGCTAACTAACTCGTTTACAGACTATATTTACTGTAGAAGTCTACTTAACCATTAATGGATGCAAATATTGTGTTTACTGTATGTATGGTGTTCTCAACATCAGGGCAGGTTCCACTCTAACAGGGTAGTTTACCCATGGCTCAAAGGAGAATCTCAACGAATACTTACGGTGCACTCTGGCAAACCTGTGATCGGATTCATGGTCACTGGGGCAGGTCGCCATCTGAGACAACCCAAAACAGAATCTGGGTGATCATATCCCGTTTTTCTGGGCCAATGACCACACTTCAAAAACTACATTAGAAGGCAATTGGCATAGTGACATTGGTGGATGCTTTGGTTTCTCAGACAACATTGTGCACCTGAGCAATAGATAGCCTTATATGGGACACTCATTTCGCACTCAGTTGCAAATACTCTAAGAGCCACAGACCTAGACCTCCTAGTCCACCACCCAGTCAGGTGCTAGTTTAACGTGGACCGTCCCTGATACCTGGTCAAAATGCTTGGATGCTTCAGAAAGATGGCTTGGGTGAGGGTGGGTGTTGCTAACATGATTGATCTCTGGAGTGTCACTCACTTAGCCGATCACATCAGCTGGAAGGAGTTGTAACTGGATCTTTAGGTATTTCTGCCCCTAATTAAAGGCAGAGGGTGGGGAACATGGTCATGATTTTTGAACAGTTTAACAGTGGAAATTCCTGACTGGTATAAAATGCACAACATCACCTTAGAGTGCCAGCACAACATCACCTTGGAGTGCCAGCACAACATCACCTTGGAGTGCCAGCACAACATCACCTTGGAGTGCCAGCACAACATCACCTTGGAGTGCCAGCACAACATCACCTTGGAGTGCCAGCACAACATCACCTTAGAGTGCCAGCACAACATCACCTTAGAGTGCCAGCACAACATCACCTTAGAGTGCCAGCACAACATCACCTTAGAGTGCCAGCACAACATCACCTTAGAGTGCCAGCACATCACCTTAGAGTGCCAGCACAACATCACCTTAGAGTGCCAGCACAACATCACCTTAGAGTACCAGCACAACATCATCTTAGAGTGCCAGCACAACATCACCTTAGAGTGCCAGCACAACATCACCTTAGAGTGCCAGCACAACATCACCTTAGAGTGCCAGCACAACATCACCTTAGAGTGCCAGCACAACATCACCTTAGAGTACCAGCACAACATCACCTTAGAGTACCAGCACAACATCACCTTAGAGTGCCAGCACAACATCACCTTAGAGTGCCAGCACAACATCACCTTAGAGTGCCAGCACAACATCACCTTAGAGTGCCAGCACAACATCACCTTAGAGTACCAGCACAACATCACCTTAGAGTACCAGCACAACATCACCTTAGTGTGCCAGCACAACATCACCTTAGAGTGCCAGCACAACATCACCTTGGAGTGCCAGCACAACATCACCTTGGAGTGCCAGCACAACATCACCTTAGTGTGCCAGCACAACATCACCTTAGAGTGCCAGCACAACATCACCTTGGAGTGCCAGCACAACATAGGGGATGCATAGCACCATAGTTGATGCACTATCACTGACTTAGATACAATTCGGGGCACTGGGTAGCAGATCTCTTGTCAGACTACCACAAAATTGTTCAATTTTTGGCCAGAACCATTCATCGACCTTTTTGCTTCACTGCTGATCTCACAAAAAAACGGTTCCACGTCTAGCCATACAGCATTGGCATGGGACACAATGTCCAGCTTGGACAACATAGACGCGCCCTCGTTTCCACTGATATTAGTAACATTTGGCTCTATCAAACAATACATAATAGAACTATGTGTTGCCTGAGCTGATCCACTTAAATGCATGTAGGCTATCTGCATGCTCAGCACCATTCAGGTATACCACAGCCACTGGCGGGACTATTGTTTTTGGTGTTTACAAGACACAGTTGTGTTTTTCCCCAGCTGGTAGACTTTCCTTACCATGTGGAAAATATGGATAGGAAGACCCCACTCACGTTGGTTAACATCAAGTCTGTGGTCAACATCGTGTTGGTTAGCTTGTATAAGAACATCACCAACACTGACTACACCCTTGTCTTTAGTGTAAGTGCCTCTTTAGCAGCCAGTCCCCCCCCCCCCGGCAATATGCTGCAACACATGGTCGAGAAAAACACTTTCTGGTCGCCATGCTTCAGACAGAAGATGCTTCTGAAGATGAATGTTCTTTCAGGCTGATTAGTCACTTTATAGAATAACCACCTCCTTAGGGCTAAGAACCAAGCTCTGCTGTATGAACCCTACAACTGAATCCGACTTCTGGTACAACATGGGGGGGGGTCCCGACCCTGAGCCCAGTGTGCATGCTCGGCCATCGAGGGGCTCAGAGGTTAACTTGCCATGCACAGTGAAAACCACAGTCGCCAGCCTGTTGTACCACACTTTCCAGATGGGTTCTGGAGACGATCAACTTTGTATTCTCAAATGTGGACGCTCCACGGGCGTTAAAGCCAAGATGTACGTATGATCTGAAAATATCTAAATATGTTGGTGGTTTTACACTGTATATCACTTGTTAGGCAGATTTAGTAATTCGAATATTTCGTGATGTCAACTAAAATATTTGTAATGAAAAGTTACGTCGTCCTGGTTTGCTTTTGTCTATGTTTAGGACTGAATTTATTACACACAGTGTCATTTGGTTTGCCACGTGCCCTCTAGCAACAAAGTAACCAAAATTGTTCAGTCGTTGGAGGCCGCGAAATATTCAAAACCTGTACTGACGTTTACCTCTCGACGTGGTTCACGCTGCAATTTAGGATCACTCATGTACGGACAGAACACATTATATTCGGAAACACACGTTCCATGTCATGTTTAATATCACCTACAGTAAAATACGTTCAAATATTATTGTCAATTAGGATTTACCGTAAAGACAATGCGAGCTTACATAAATTACTTTACATGTAAATACGACTAGCACCTGGATTAGAACTATCTACACTGGCAGAAAATCCCCGCAATTCAGTATTCGGGATGTTTTTACAAGCTGGGAACATGTAACCACGTATCGCATTTGTTTTCACATGGACCACATGACAAAGCACACCTGGGAGCCGGTGCCCTATTATCTCCAGACCACACACAACATAATTTCGCGTAATTGAACATAGTTATTCTGTAGCCAAACTGAAGTGCTGCTGCTTTTTAAAACGACACACATATACTCACAAATACCATCAGAATAAC